GTTTTCATCCGCCCAAACTAGGTTAGCACCCATTCCAGAACAAACCAGGCGCTTTCCTAGGCAAGGGCAGGGTCATGTGCCCACCCCCATCCTGGGCGTGGAGTCAGTCCCACCCAGCGACAGAGACCACCCCGAGGGGAGTGACTTCCCAGAGCATCAGGTTCTGTGATCACAGAGGGTGAATACCGAGGCACCAACCACAGCTGCGGGCCCTGCACTGCCGGCCGCTGCTCCCCCAGGGCAAGGCTCTGGTGGCTGCACGTCCATTTCTCACTCCCTGGGGCCTCCCTCGTCTTGTATCAACTCTGACACAAGTCACTTCACTAAATGCCTTTTGCCTCTGAGATCACCTCTTCTGAATGCACTGTGTTCAGTATCACTCAGTGATCACGTGGCTGACCCTGCCGCTGGGGGTGGTTCCCTGTCCATTCCTGTCCGATTGTTCTCAGAGCCCGAGAGATGCTCTGTCCCAACAACGCTTACCTTTACCCACACAGGCAAGACCTCACTCCCTGTGCCAGGTCGAGAGGGAGTAGACAGCAGAGGGCAGAGGAACTCACCCGTGGCTGTGGCACTAAGCTGGGTTCCCATACAAAGATGAGTCCCACGTGGAATAGCTAATGTGCAGAAATCACTTCCCACCCATAGAGATATCCTGACATCCGCCTGGGCACCAGCTTCACTGTGGGTGGGCTGGGCCCTGTGCCCAACAGCATTTCCGTTGTGTTAGTGTTTTCCTCGTGGCCCTCGGAGGCCAATGGAGCAGGATGCTCCACAGCCATCTGTGCTTGCCTGGCGTCACCCAAGACAGCCCCAAGCGTGGAGACCCGTGGAAAACATAAGCTGAGTGAGCTGCTGCCCCGCTGGAGTGGCTCAGTTGCTTGAGCATCTTCCTATGCACCAAATGGTTGCCAGTTTGATTCTTGGTCAGGGCACATACCTGGGATGTGAGTTCAGTCCCCAATCAGAGCAGGTACAGAAGACAACCAATTGATGTTTCTCTCCCTCCTCTCTCTCTCTCTCTCTCTCTCTCTCTCTCTCTCTCTCTCTCTCTCTCTCTCTCTTCTTTCTTTTCTCCTTCCCTCCCTCCCCCTCTGCTGAGGGCAGTTGGGAACAGTGCATAGTACTTATTGAGCTAACGGAAGGGGAGCTTTGACAAACAAGGAAGCCCCGGTCACATCGTCAGTCCTCGGCACTGAGGTCAGCAGGCAGTCTGGGCACGTGGTGGGGCGGTGCTGCAGCAGCCAACGTGTCCTCTGGGACTTCACCAATTTGAGCTCAAATTGTAATCCTTTGCTCAGTCTCAGGATCATCTGCTGTGTATTGGGGTGTTTATGGAGCAGTTGATTAAAAGCGGGTGGTGTCCATGCTGTGGGCTCTTCTGTCTCCTTCCCAGCCCTTCTCTCCGCCCAGGGCAGCTCGCAGCCTTCCGAGGGCTCCGCAGCCATGGTTCTGTGCCTTTTCACTTGATTCCCGAGGGCCAGCCAAATCCACACAGCTGGCCTTTAAACATGTCTGGCTGTGTTTTAGACACTCCACCAACCACAAGCTTCTCAGATATGGAAGGCCCTTCCAGGGCCCTGCTCTTCGACAAGAGACACGCTCTATTGGGGGACACTGTTGGGCGTGACCCAATTGTTGGGGGTTGCAGTTTCTGGACTGTTCTCTCAGTTGGATAGTTTACTTAATAATGTTTAGAATGAAATCCACTTTGGGATAAAGGTCTGTAGCTGAGCATTGTCAGAATTTCCTTTATAGTTGTCTTTGAAAAATAATGGGAGAACTTAGAAAACAAACCATAACAAGCTATAAATAGCTATAAGAAGATGATCTCCCAAGTCAGTCAGTAACACCCAAGCCCCACTGCCGGCAGCGTGGAGGCCAAGATTCAAGTCCTCCTCCCCCTGCTGTTCCACAGCCCCACTCCCTAGAGACCACCGCTGCTGAGCAGTGCGAGGCTGAGCCTGTGAGTGCCCGTGCTTGCTTAGCAGGGAGAGCTGCAGCCCTCACGGGCACATAGGCATGTTCCCGGGCTTCTCGGTAGCACAGCCTGGGAGGGCAGCCGCAGAGACCACGCAGCTCAGACCTGGGCCCAGAGAAGAATCGTTGGAAGGCAGAAACTCACTAGTTCAAGGTACCCAGCCACCCACCGAAAACCTGGGACATGGGTCAAGACGCCAGGCATGTTCTTTTATTTTAGCATCTTTCTCAGGAATCATGAAGGACACAATCAACAATGGTAGCTTAGACTAGTTTGGTAAACTGAGGCAAAGGGGCTCTTTATCCTGAAATGCCATAGCTCGGTGGCTCCTGAGAGCTTTCAGCTTCCCATAGTCACTCACAGGCTAGCTCTTGACACATGACCAAAGGTCTGTTTATCGCTGCATCTAGGTTGTGAGATTATCTTTAACTTTTTTATTTTAGATTAACTCCAGAATCACAGGAAGTTGCAAAAGTAATACAAAGAGTCCCTATGAAGGCTGCATTGAATTTCCCCCAATAGTTGCATTTTATGCAATTACAGTACAATTTCAAACCGAGGAAACCAGGAAACAATTTCCTTACAGCATGAAGGAAATTGACATATGTGTGCGCAGTCTTTTGTCGTTTTGTCATATATGTGGTTGTGTGCAACTACCCCCATCAACAGCAATCAGCTTTATCCCTCTGCTACCCCGTCAACCCGAAAGCCTGGCAACCACTGATATGCTTTTCATTTCTATCATTTTGTCCCTTCGAGAATGTTCTGCAGGTGGAATCATAGAGTATGTGACTTTGGGACATTGGCTTTTTAAACACAGAATCATGTCGCTGAGCTCCATCCACATTGGTGCATGCATCCATAATCCATTCCTTGTTGTTGCTGAGTCGTATTCCCAGGTCTAGGCAGCCCACAGTTTGGCTAGCCATTTGCCTGGTCAGGGCCATGTGCTTGTTTCTATCTAGTTCGGAGCCATTGCAATGAAGAAGACTAGGTGCATTGACCATATGATTAAAATGTTAGGACGATGTCTGCCACTTCACTTCTGTCTCCTAGTATTTTCCCTGTTGTTCATTTCTCCGCTTTCTTTTTCCTTCCTACCTTCAAGATTTGTTAAAATTCCACTTTGATTGATCTAAAGTATTCCTAGTATATTTCTCTATGATTTTTTTTTTATTTCTCTGTATAAATTTGTTTACTGGATGTATTGCATTATGCATACATAACTTAAAACAGGTGACTAGTGTCGGGATTTTACCAGTTTAAGTGAAGTGCAGAGACCATAACTCTTTTAAGCCTTAAAGTTTTATTTTACAATTTCAATTGTCTATAATTTATATCTACTATTTTCTTAAATATTGTATCTATATACATTTAAAAAACAAATATTTTCCACAGTCATTTTAACACACAGATGATCTAAAGCAAAGAAAGGCAAAGTGAATTGAAGAATCAAGCCAATGGCTCAGCTGGCACTGGAGAGCTTGCTTCTAGAATGTTCCCATTGCCACTCACTTTCTTTTCATAACTGAAGGCTGTTTCTTCTTCAGAGTTGAGTGTTTCTGTTAGCTGATTAGTCTTCAAATTTTCCATAAGCTCTTCGGAGGTTTTCCGGACTATCCTGGGGATGGAGACACAAGAGGCCAAGGCAATGACTGCAGGTCACAGAGGCACAGCACAAGGGCAGAGGTCTCACAGGGGTCACCTAAGGCATGCCTGGCTTTCAGAGAGGGTGATGCCTGGGTTAGAATAGGTTTTTTATTCCAGTTGAGGAAAGAAAAACCCCATGGTTTTTCTATCAAGTATTTTTAGGCTTAATAGAATTTCCAGGAACTAAAGATGTCTGTGCTATTTTACAGCATGAAGGAACGTCAACATCAAACCTTTTCTTTGACAGAAATAAAATATAGAAAATGACTCCTGATTTCCATCCCCAGTCTTCGCTTCATCCTACCACCAGGCTTTCCTGGCTAACAAGGTGTCTAATGTGAATGTATCCTGTGGCAACCCAAAGCCCTGTCCATTGGCTCAGCAAAAACCTCTTCCTGAGACACACTGAGAACACACACACAACGAAGCACCTAGAACAAAGCTGGCGCGGAAACGTTACCTGCACGCCAACCACTCCGTGGGCAGCGAACCCAGGAGAGGAGCTTGGAGAAGGCACCGAGGACAAGGGCAGTGGGGACTGAGTGGTGGGGCAGATAGGGCACAGAGGGCACACATGGTCTAGACCACGGTCCTCCCTAGTGGCCAAGGGCATCTTTTCTCCTGCCTCTTGTTATTTGCTGACCCTTAGCTAAACGAGAAGGAACACTAATTCTAAGGAGAAGTGTCTCAGGGGAGAAATGGCCACGGGGTGGATTCCAACGCCACGCCAGCACTCTCTGCTGGTGTTCTCATGCCCCTGATGGATGCTGCCCTCCCTGGGAAGAAGCAGCTGGAACAGCGGGAAGGCGACCTTGGGTCATGGTCCAGGCCCCACATGCTTGCAATAACTCCTGGTCTGGCAGCTCATCGCACACTTCACACACACACTGCTCTTCCACAGCCAGGACACACACACACACACACACACACACACACACACACACACACAAAGTCAGTCCTCAGCTGGCATAGCTCAGTGGTTGAGCTTCGACCTATGAACTACAATAGATCGTGGCTCCATTCCTGGTCAGGGCACCTGCCCGGTCGCAGGCTGGATCCCCAGTTGGAAGCAGTCAGGAAGCAGCTGACCAGTGATTCTCTCTCATCATTGATGCTTCTACCTCTCCCTCTCCCTTCCTCTGAAATTTCCCTTCCTCATAAAATATGATGGAGTTGTCATGACAAAGCATTACAGATAGAAATGGACAGTGTGGAATGAGGAAGCGAAGTATGCTGTCTGCTATGGTTTGTAATGTGAACAAAGACATATGCTCCTCCTTCTGAACCATGGACCCCTAGTGCTTTCCAACGACTTCTCTAGGACTTGCTGCCAACAGAGGAGCCTGATTAAAGAGTGTAAAAGCTTCCCTGAAGATGGTTTTCTTGAACTTTGGCTTTAGGCATATGGAGGTGTGAGTGGTACAGAAAGGCCTCTACTCCGTGAGGACTGGCTCCACCACTGTCATTTCTGCCCAAAGATCTGGTACAAAGAGGGACACTGTCCCAAGTGGGTTTCAGGTCTGAGACGCACAAAGCCCCAGGTCTTAGAGAACTGACTTCTACTGAATGCTTACCCTGTGTGCTGTCCCCGAAGGTGCTCAGTGGTTCTGAGTTGGGGTCGTATCATCCCCATGTTACAGATGAGGGAGCCAAAGCTAAGTAAGAACCCAGGGAAAAGACAGAGAAAGAGCTGCCCTGAACCTTGTTCTGGCCAACTGCAGCTTTTGATTTTCTCTCTGCCAAGCCAGCCATGCACACCGCATGGTCCGAGAGCCTGTCTTCCTCTGTCTGTCTGCTTTTAGTGTGTCTTCCCTACAGGTGGCCAGGGTGAGCCACGCTTTGCCCTACAGATACAGTCCCTGCACCAAGAACAGGGTTGGTAAGGTACTTACTTACTGACCATACTAACCCATACCTACAGCCGTTCTTTCCTTCCTCCCACCAGAGACTGGGAAAGAATTGGGCGGAGTAAGAGGGGAGTGGAGCTTCCTCATTCACAGCCCAGGGCTTGCAGGCTGAGTGGAGAGAACACGCCTAGAGCAGATGATGCAAACAGAAAGAGAGAGAGAGAGAGAAAGAGAGAGAGAGAGAACTGCTCTGAGCTCAAGATGTTGCCCATACTTAATGATAATATCTTCCTAGTTCTGCTTTGCTCCCTTCCCAAGCTAAATGTCGCTCTGCCTCCTTGCTGCCTCTGATCTTTGAGGCTCTGACCCAGAGCAGCTCCATAGAACAAGCCCCACAAGGAAAGCTGGTGGCTAGTCCCGAAGTGCACGGTGATGAAGCTAAGAGTGTGGTGTCTCAGCTGCCGGGCCACGGGGCTGTGGCAGGAGGAGAGCTCTGGAGCGGAGTGAGCTGTCAGTCCTTTCCTTACTCCTATGCCTGTATGTGTGCGGGTGCACATGCCGAGAGACAATGACAAAGAACTGAAAGCCCTTCAGTCAACAAAATCACAAGCAAGATGGTAGGGAAGCATTTTATGGACTTAGCCGAAAGCACTATTGCAGGTAATCTCTCAATTTTCTGTGGAAGCAGCCCATCGCCATCTTTCCTCCCTCCCTGCTCCCTTCCTGCCTCAGGGTCAGGGTACAAGGTCACCTCCACTCTTCCTGGGTCTCCTTGGCCGTGGAGTTGGGCGCGATGAAATTGCTAAAAACATTCTTTTTCGATGTTGTCGTGACGAGGCTCTTGATTTTGTTCAGCTTGTCTCGGGCCTGTTGACATTTCTTCAGGCAAGGCCCGCACAGATCCTTCGCCTCCACCAGATATAAGTTTTCCAGCCTCTTGATGGAATCTATGAATGCATCCGTCTCCTCCGGCTGGACAAAGGGGTTCCGCTTGGTGTTGAGCTTCTTCAGCTTGGGGAGCTTGGAGATGCTCGTGGGGATGGCAGTGATCAGGTTGTCATGGAGCCCGACCTCGTGGAGCTCCTTCAGAGCACCCAGTGTGGTGGGCACGCTGTCCAGGTGGTTCAGGCCCAGGTTCACGGTGCGGATGTTCTTCAGCTGGTTGAGCTCCACGGGCAGCCCATTGGTGGTCAGCTTGTTGTTGCTGACATTGAGGAAGAGCAGACTCGTCATTTGGCCGATGGACTCGGGGAGCTTATCGATGTAGTTGCTGTGCAGATCCAGCCACCGTAGGTTCTGGAACTTGGAGATTGAATCAGGGATTCTCTTGAGCATATTCCGGCTAAGATCAAGCTCGTCTATGTCGGTGAGTTTCAGAATACACTTCGGGAAGGTGGTAATCCCCATCTTGCTCAAGTCGAGGCGTTTTCTCCCATCGAAGGTGATTTTGATACAATTCTTGGCCACATTGAGGGTGATCTTCTTGCCCTTGGGCCCCTTCCCACTCTTGGCCATGCTCTTTAGTAAAGAAATATGTGTGAAGTGTGCTGTTCTGGTTGGTTGGTGATCAGATTGAGGAAAAAGTCACTTGAAACTGTTAGAAGATATACTCTGATAAGAGAAAAATATCAAGTTAGGAGATGGCATGAGAGTATTGGGCTTTTCCCAAATCATAATACCTTGCTCTCTAACCATTTAAAAGGTGGAAAAGAGGAAAGTGGAGAGAAATTAGGGCATCATCAGAAGTCATCTACATAAAGACCTTAAGTAAACTGCATGCCTTCCTCAGACCTCGGTTCCCACATGTAAATAAGAGGGGCAGGTTCGGGCTGAAGGAGGCTCAGTGTCCATCTCGCTGTGTCATTTCCTGGCTTAATAATCGCTCATTGTCCTGGACTTCCAAAGACACCCTCTCCCTCCCCAGCCCAGGGGTATATGTAATGTGTATGTGTACCTAACACTCCCAGACCTTCACCTAAACCTAGTCTTTCCTTAGAGTTAGCTTAAGGTTGCCAGGGTGTGTCTGCTGAATTCTCAGTGGAACCACAGGGCTGACATAAGGAGACAAATGCTCGCGGTGGGTGGGTGGCCAGGTGCCTGAAGTTTCTCTGCTCCGTCATCCAGGCTCTTTCTCAGGAACCAAGTTCAAAAGCACACGAAGTGCCAGCAGCCAGCCCGTGTGCGCCACTATCACATTTTCCTCCTCCAATAATCCTCAGTGTCAAAGGAAGCGGGTGAAAACTGCCCTCCCCATGCTCACTGTGAACCGCCACGGCCACACCTACGGAGGATCCCACCCTGTGCTGGTCCCCCTGGACCACAGCCTCCTGGATGGACGGAGGTCCCCAGAGTAAGCCAGGGAGAGCACCTGTCCGCCCTCAGCATCCTTAATGCTCTTCTGAGCAGGCCTGGAGAGCGGAACCTCTGCTTTAGAAAGAAGGCCCGGCCTCATTCAGGCATAATTACTGAAGACAGCCCCAAGACCACGCATTTGAGGCTCTATCTCACATCGCTCTGAGAAACCAGAGGGAGGAAAGCAGCTTGAAAACTCAAGTCTGACCCAATCAGGTAGGAGTCAGTCCACCCTGTCTAAGCCGCCCCACCAGGGCACCCACCTCCAGTCCTGCTCGGACAGCGCAGCCCGCACTCCCAGCACGCTGGCCACAAAGGCTGCCAGCGACGGGAGAAGTAACTCCAACGTTGGAGCAGCTGTGCATCGGGTGTGATGGAAAAATTTCCAAGAAGAGCCTCTCTCTCTGGCCCAGAAGAGCAACGGGGTGGGGAGGGGGCGGGTGTCAGGTTCAGAGGGGGTGCAGGAGGCCTTGCGTTGGTGTCAGGGGGAGTCAGGTTCAGAGGGGGTTTGGCCCCAGGCAGGCCTGCCTCACAGTCAGCCACGCAGGCACCAAGTCCCAGACCAAGGCAGAGAACCATTCTCTGCACACCCTGTCTCAGCAGGAGTTGCCTTTCTCTCCAACTGTCACTGGCCCTGGAGGCAAAGGGTGGAAAGAAGTGAACAGCCGATTTAGAAAACAAAACGCCTGGATTTCCAACCAGTAGACCAAGGGCTCAGGCGGGGCATTGCAGGGAGCCACTCATGCTGGAAGATTGCACGGAGGAGGGTGTTTATAAAATTGTGCGTGGACTCCGGGATACACCCTGAGCTGCTGGTGCATGCATGAAACCCTGGATAGGGTCTTCAGTACCAAACGCCATACGCAGAACCCCACGACTCATACTGCGCTGAGAAACCGCTGTGCAGGTTCCGGGCTGGTGCCTGGGGGGACAGAGGACCTGACCCAGTAGCACCGCCCAGTATCCGAAAAGCAGAGGGACCCTGGCACCATGATCACAGAATCAGCAGAAGGGCCAGAACTTAATTCGCAGGTTAATGACAAATAGAAGGATTCGCTACCAGCTGAACTGCTGTAAAAGAAATGCTACAGAAAGTTCTTCAGATGAAAGGGACTCATACTAGAGAGATACTTGTGCTTTGGGCTAAACTTAAGAATAGCAACAGAAATGGTAAATTTCTGTTAAACATAATTTACTATTTCCTCCTCTTAAGGTCTCTAAAATATCTGTGATGGTTGAAAGCAAGAATTTTAATACTGTCTAATGGGGTTTTCAATGCCCAGAGATGGGATATGACAAGCACAATGTAACCGGGGACATGGACCGGAGCTGTGTGGAAGGCAAGGCTTTGGCATGCTTTTGGAGCGGTGAAATAGTAACTCTAAGTAGACTATGGAAGGGAAGTGTGCTGCCTAAATCTCCAGAGCAATCACTAAAGACAGTAAAAAACTAGGTGCATAAATTTGAAAATAGATTCTATGTATAATTATAAAAAGTGTAATATTATCTATCCCTACCTAAATATAATTATGTGTACATCTAGTAAAAATTCACTATATAAATTGTATTTATACATCTAAGAAAAATCCACATAATATAAAAGAAAGCAGGAGAGGGGAATAGAAGAAGCAAAATACAACCATTAAAATAGCAGACCTAAATCCAAGCATATCCACCCTTTCCTTAAATGAAAATGTCCCAAACACACTCATTAAAAGCATAACTACCAGAGTGGATGATAAAAGACCCAATTATATGCTATCTTTAAGAAATCCACTTTAAAAAAATAAAAGTAAGTTTTGAAAAATGGGAAAACACAAACTATGCAAACATTAAAGGAAAACTGAGTGACTTTATTAATATCAGTATGGGCAAAGTATATTTCAGAGCATGAAAATTTACCCAAGATTAAGAATATTATAAAATATAGTATTGATAAAGGGACGCATTATCAAGAAGATATAAAAATTCTAAATGTGTGCATACTGAACAACAGAGCTTTGATATAAATGAAGCAAAAGCTGATAAAATTGAAAGGATAAATGAAAAAAATTATAATTACAATACGAAATGTCAATCCTTGTTTCTCAATAATCAATGCAACAACGTGAGAGAAATTCCACAAGGAATTGGGTTGCTCAGTTTTGGCCCTATGGTCCTTTGGGGCCAGATACCGCTTTTCTGTTGGTGGGGGCAGGGGAAAACGGACAGGGGGGAGGCTGATGGGAGAGGATGCCTGTCCTGTGATTGTATGATGTTTATCATAGAAGGCTCTACCCATTAAATGCCAGTAACTCTACACTACTTATCAATAATGTCTCTAAATATCACCAACTGTCCACAGTGGGCAAAATTGCTTCCCTACCCCCACCATGAGAACCAACAATATAGAACTGGACATTCATCAATGGACTGGATCTAGTTGACATGTGAAAACACTCTACCAGCAACAGGATACACACTCTTCTCAAGCACACATCCAGCATTCACACACATAGACTACCTTCTTAGCCATGAAGCAAACCTTAACAAATACAAATGAATTAAATTAACAATATCAGAACTATAACTGGAAAAATCTCCAAATAATTAATTTTAAAAATATTTATAAATACTTCATGAGTCAAAGAAATCTCAAGGGAAATGAAAAATATTTTAACTGAACAAAAATGCAATAGAACATATCAAAACATATGGTATGCAACTAAAGCAGTGGTCTTATACGTTCATACTAAGAAAATTTTAAAAATCAATAATATAAATGCCCACCTTAGGAAACCAGTAAAGAATAACAAAATAAACATTTAGCCTGCACAAGGAGGAAATAATAAAGACAGGAGCAGAAATCAAAAGGAGTAAAACCAAAAGGAGAAAGACAATGGGGAAAATCAATAAAACTAAAAGCTGGTTCTTTGAAGATTAATAAAATTGATAAATCTCTAGCCAGACTGACAATGGAAAAAGGGGATGACAAAATTATTAATATAAGTAATTAAAAAGAGGATATCACTAAAATCCCACAGACATTAAAGGGTTGATTAGGGAATAATACAAACAACTCTAGAATAAGCTTTAAAGTTGACCACAAACCAATCTCACTCATGAATAGAAAACCCATAAAAATCTATTTATTAAAGATACTGAATTTATAGTTGAAAGCATCCAAAAAAATAAACCTCTAGGACCAAATTATTTTATTGGCAAATTTTACCAAATATTTAAAGATGACAACAACCATTTTTACATGATGTTTTCAAGAAAATAAAAGAAGGAATACTAGTTATTCCTAACTTATTCCTAACTCAGGCCAGCATTCCCCTGATACTAAAATCACACATAGGCAATATAAAGAAAGAAAACTACACAGCAATATCCCTGATAAACAAAGGCATAAAAGTCTTCAACAAAATAAATAAATTGAATCTAGCAATATATAAAAAGAATAATACACAACAGCCGAGTGGGGATGCAAGTTGATTAGTTATTCAGAAATAGATGTAATATAGCATATTAACAGGTTCAAAAGAAAAAAGCACATGATCATATCAAGTGATGCTGAAAAAACATGGTATAAGTTTAACATCTAGTCATGACAAAACCTTTCAGCAAGCCACTAATATAAAGGCATTTTTATAGCCTGATAAAGAGCGCTCTCTCTCTCTCTCTCTCTCTCTCTCTCTCTCTCTCTCTCTCTCTCTCTCTCTCACACACACACACACACACACACACACACACACACACCCTACAGCTAAATCAGGCTTGGTGATTAATTAAATGCTTTTCTCCCTAAGTTTGGAAACAAGGAAAGAAGGTGCACTCTTGTTATTCCTACTCAACATTTTATTGGAATTCTAGCCAGTGCAATAAAAAAGAATGAAATGTCTCACTTTACAGATGCCTTAATTTGTCCACACAGAGAATCCTATAAATTTTTTGAGTTTAACAAGGTTGCAGGATACAGAGTTAACACACAAAAACCCCACTACATTTCTATATACTATTGATGAAAATTTTTGAAAAATAGTAATGCTTTAGAAAAAAACACAAAAAACATTTCTGTATTTCACATAAGTAAAAAAAAAAAAAATGTGCAGGATTTCTATGACCAAAATTATAAAACACTGATGAAAGAAAGCAAAGATCTAAATAAATGTACAAACATACCATGACTATGAGTTGGAATACTC